TGTATATAATCATCTTTTCTACTTGATTCTGACAAGTTTCGACGAAATATTTCAGAAACTGAGATACCCGCCCAAAAATCACTTCGGTGGCCATAAAGCGCCAATCATTTTTGTTTAGTTTATTTCTTCTAATTTTCGCACACCAACATTCAAAAAGTTCTGGAAAATTAATTAAAATAAAAAATTGTGTAGGGGAACATTATCACTGCTGACTTAATTGTAGTCTCAAAAATGTTCTCATAATTGGTTTTTAGGAAGCTAAAAACCTGGTTGACTGTCGCACGGGAACAATTAGACTTTAGTTGTCTCTCCCAACAGATATGCCCTACAGCAGGTTTATTCTTAAATACCTAATTCCCATCGATAGTTAGAAGTCGTCATGTCAATTGCTATATAGAATCTCAAGAAAATCGTTTAAATAAACAAAAAAATGCGATATGCCGAAATCTCCATTATTCCATATTAGTTCCATGACTACCGCGGTTTTTAGCTTTTAAGCTAATACAAGATTTCGCGTCCCGTCCATTTATTGAATTACCTTGGGCGCCAAGGGATTTAGTTGTGAAATTTAATTAATTTTTCGAATTACCACCACATTTAGGTGTTAGTCTAGTCAGGACTTAAAATCATAACCTTCACGCTCGTATCATACTCTGCCTCTCGCTACTTCTTTGAGTATAAGAGTGGTATAACAAATATGGGATATAAAACTTTGTTAATACATTTCCTTCTCTATCGTGTGATATCTCTAACCGTAGGTCTCTCTCCCGCGGAATTCTCTCACCAATAAAAGAATTTATCCAGTGTTAAATTCGCAATTGTAGGCATTTATAAAAATTTTTAAGCGCTCATTCTCTTAGCCGGTCCACAAATTTGAAGATACACGTAGATGTTTGAACTAGTCGGCCAAATGTTTTCTAACATATTATGTATATATTCTGCTACAAACAACGTCAGGTAAACTGAGCTAAGATACGTTGGGGCGCGCTTGTGACGGAGTGTAATCACACACCCAATGATTTATCAGTTGCTGTAAAACTATTTAGGTTAGGTGGTTGCTATGAAGCTGATAAAGCAATGAAGAGAGATAATAGGCTTTTTACCTTATTTATATATTTATTTTTATTTATTTATGTGCTCGTATGTATTATCTTCTTTCCATATACTCAAATACATATTACATACAGTAGTTTAAATAAAACAAAGCTATTATTTTATTTATTTATTTTTATATGGTAAATACTTACATATGTATGTATATGCATATTCCCATGTTGTCCCCTGCTCTTAAAATTACATATGCATGCTTATATAATAGAAATAATATATGTATGTATATATGTATGTATAGAAATTCAACACATTCTTGCGTGAAGGTTTCTTTTGTTTTGTTTATTTTACTTTCTTTTCGTTCTTACTACATCAAACAAAATTGCATAAGTTTTTTTTTTAATATACATACATATAATATGTTTGTACACGTATATTCGACGGATAATTGCATGTGTAATTGGGCGGTAACAAAAAGTGAGTTTTAATTAAAATGCGCTTGGTGGAAATGAATAATATCTAAGGCAAACAAATGTCTTGGTGATAACGCAAAGGCGTTTGCGATAATTGTTAAATACTTAAGACTTTTTTGTCACAACGATATATGTATTTTTGTGTAGATATATACTATAAAAGATTTTGAAACTTGGAGGGATTTTTCGAATTTATTTTTAACTCGTTTGATTTACATGAAATTTGGTACATCTTGGTACTCTTTGCTGCCTAAGTTGACAAGGGAAACACTTTTTCTTCCCTTAAGTGGACCCGTTCGAATAATTTGTTCCTACAGTAATAGCTTTGGGCGCAAATCACCATTGGTAAAGTATTGTAATAGTCTACTTTAGAGACATCAAAATGTTTATTTTCTTCTGAAATGAATTCTAACTAAACATATTATTGGTCTTCAGTGGCCAATTCGAGCTGTTTTAAAAGCTAGAGCAGTTTAGTAGCCTTCGAGCAGGTTCTAATCTTCGGACAGAACTTTGAAGTCTTAGAAAACGGTGCTGGTAGCAGCAAAAAGCATATGTGCCCCATCGAAAAAAACCAAAGTGATCTTGCTTTAGTCATGAATTATTAAACTGTTATTTAAACTATTTTTTTTTCCACTTGAATTGAAATTTTTTTTTTTTTCAAATATCTGAAAATTTCTTAATTTTCCAACTTCTTCGTTATTTTTTTAGTTCATATATTGGGTTGAACCAAAAGAAACCGGGGAGAAAGTATATACATTTCTTTTTAATTTTATAATGAACTTTACTCCATTATATAATTTCTATTTTGTTGGACGACCTTTCGCCAACTTTCCGGCCATATCATTATTGCACGCTCATAGAACTTCTGTCCTTTATCTGCAAAAAAGTGAACCAAGAGCGATTTCATAGCTGCGTCATTTTCGAAAATTTTACCATTTAATGGGTTCTGCAAAGCTCGAAACCAATGATAGTCTGGCGGTGCAAGGTCAGAGCTATATGGTGGATGCATCAACAGTTCCCAGCCCAGCTCCCTTAGTTTTTTCGTGAGTGACCAAAGATGTGTGTAGTCTAGCGTTGTCCTGGTGGAATATGACACCTTTACGATTGACCAATTCTGACCGCTACTCGTTGATGGACGCATTCAATATGTCCAGTTGTTCACAGTAGACATCCGAATTAAACGTCTGGTTCCTTGAAAGCAGCTCAAAATACACCACACTCTCCCAATCCCACCATACTGACAGCATAATCTTCTTTTGGTGAATGTCAGCCTTTGAAGTGATTTGTGGCGCTCAGAGACTCTTAAAAATTAAAAACAAAATTGGTTCGACTGTTTCAGATGCATCGCACGACCTCCATCAACAAGCTCACACTGCAGCCGCTTCAGAAAATTCATCGAAACATTGGAATGTTCAAATATTTTTTAATACTAAAAATTGTTTTTTAAAGCTTGAATATAGTACAAGAGGGATCCATGAATGGAACTAAGAATTTAAGATAAGTTTATTATTTGTTTTCCCTTAATTAAATTAAATAAAATTTATATAATTTACGCCCATTAACAGATTAAACGACTTTCGACCGAGCTTCTGCTCCAATTTGTGATGGACGACTTGGTGGTTTTCCAACAAAGGGAGTGACCTACAGTTTTTTCTAAACTGGACGATTTTTCTCGAGAGATTGGTACGCGCCCGACAATAGATGTGCCGTATATCTGGTATAGCTCGTTCCATGGGTTGCAGTATTTGTCGTTCACAACTTTAGAGGACCATGAAACTTACCCAGAACGCCTATCTCCTAAAAACTCCTAACTCCAAATTATCGAAAGATATTGTAATTGTCCCTGTATACGCACCTTTAGTATGACGGGAATGATGAGCGACTTGTAAGGTTTGGTCTTTGTCTAAGTGGTACCAAATTCAAACAAAGCAACGTAGAGGCAGCTTCTTTTCGTGCTGTCGAGGGCTGCTATAAAATCTTTGAAGAGTTGGTGCATGATGAACATTTAGCCAATCGTAGATTTGTCATGTCTGAAGCTACACCCTAGAAGGACAAAGCAGTTCGTTAACGTTGGTCTCTAGTCTTTCACGTAATGCGCCCGATAAGACATTATATGCGATGTTGAGAAATCTTATCGCACGACTATTGGCGCAAATTTTTTGGTTCCCCTCTTTTTAGTTGGAGTAAAGCGCACTTAAGTTGCAATCGTTGGGCATAATTTGATTTGGCCATATACTGCTCATAAGCTGAAGCATAAAATATACTATTTCAGTTCCTCTCTGCCATATTTCAATTGCTAAGCCGGCAGATGGCAGATGGCTTACTCGCTTCGTTTTTCTTGTTTTGCTCTTCAGGCAGGAAATTGCTATTCGGACTTCTGTATAGTCGAGTAATGGAAACATCTGTTTTAAAGTTCATTGATTGGAGAGTCGGGCTCGAAATCTTCTGTTACCTCATTTTCCTTCCAGAAATTTCTTTTCGACGTGAGTAAGCTAAAGCTTTAAGACCTGTAAGTCACCATACTCGTATTTAAAAAAAATTAAATTTTGTCTTTTGAAATTTTGCGGTTTCAGTTCAATTAGAAAGAGCCTTTCCTAAGCTTATTGATTAGTTTACAAATAAAGCTCGTAATACCATCGACTTCAACACGATTCTAGAAAATTCGATATTTTGGTTTTACTTTTGACTTCGCCCGTCTACCAAAAGTTTTTATGAGACTAGACAATCGAAACCATATTTAGATATATATATGTATAAAGAAGAGGTTAACTCTTTGCAAAAAGGACTGGCTCAAATTGAGTGCCTCTCTTATGAAAGAAACAAATTATTTGGGATTATCGGCTAATTTCTGTTAGATAAAACAGTACCATAGTTTATTGTAAGATGGGTTTTTATGAAGAGCTTTCATTTCATAAGCTCGAAGGAATTGTCATTCCCCTGCCAAGGCCCGAGTGCACTAAGCAAAATGATACTTTAAAACTTTGTATTTTGGCCACATCGTCAATCACTCGGTTCTGCCGAGATAATTAAGTTTAATCCTAAAAAAAAACTAGGTCAACGCTCGACTTCAGCTTTGCTTGTCAACTACCTAAATCTGACTTAAACTCAATTTTTAAACGTAAATTTTCAGATTCTCTGGTCATTCATTCTTACACTTCTTGCTGTTCTTTCGTTGTTTTGCTAAAGAGATTTCGAAAATTCTTAAATATATCTTTAATAAGTAGTTCCTTTATATACAGTTTCATAATTCGTTCACAGTCGGGTTTCCGAATCACACAGCACATTTTTAGGAACAATAATTTCGTAGTCGCAGCTTGAGTCTGATAAAATATTTGTAACTTTTTAAGCCAGCTCAAATTCGAAATACATACATATGGGATGATCCAGAAATCCTAAGGATAATATAATAATTTATTAGACCTTTGAGTCATTCTAAAATCTCTACATACTAACCTTTTAATTTTTTTCTTATTTCAGTTAGTAAAGCAGGCATCATATTGGTTTCAATATGACTAGCTTGAATGGTGACACTTTTGTTATGCGTAACGGTCGCTCAACAAGTCAAGTATCCATTTATAATTATCCCGAACACCTAAATCCATTTTACGAGGATGAACAGCACAAACGTTTGCGTTTCTGGAAAATAAATAAATCTGGTGGCGGTGGTAGTCGTCGTAACAGTTTCTCGCTGGGTGGTCTCAAAGATGTGTGGTAAGTAAAACATGAGCAAAACGTAGTTTAAATTTCAAATTTAGGCCTAAAGTAGAGTTCAAACGTATTTAATCTCTTTGGGTTTTTGTATGGTTTCTGTTTTCATTAACCTCTTCGCTTAATTAATTTGTATAATATCCATCATTACAATCGTATTCTCTTTACCTTTCCAGGACCTTCAAGTCATTTCGTCTTAAGAAGAAATCCTCAACATTGGGCATTAACAAAACTTCAGAAAGTCCACCACCATTACGTCGAGATTTACAGCCATATAATACATTAAATGGTAATGATCTTAGTTTGCCCGATTATCGAACTCGATATTCGACACCAGCAGGCATAAATGATAACTTTCAACGTAATGCGGCATATAGGAGCTCGCTGCAGAATGTCGCTTCAGAAAAGGTATGATACTAAATTAAATTTTGTATACAAGGGGAAGTATTCAACTAACTGATGGGTAACCGATCTAGGAGGAGTAGATATTTTGACAATATGGCCTCAAACAAAGGTTCGGCGGTTTCATTTACCCAACAGACATTGGCAAATTTTCCTACAAACCAATGATACAGTCGTTTACAGAGTTTAATATGGTTGGAATAGTTTCTATTCAACACCGATATGATTTAATATATTTCAAACAAATTTGGTGAATAGTTGAATTTTTATGCTGTATTGATCGTTTGTCGGAACCGACCAAATTGAACCACTATGACATATAGTCCCCATATAACCGATTTGTTCAGATATGTGATTTTGAGTCATACTTGAGTGGTACTGAAAATCATCGAAATCAAAGTACTATATCATATACTAGTTGCTCCCAGACAATTGCTGTTTTCAGATAAGAGATTTTGGGTCATAAATTGGTCAAAAAAGCATCTCGAAGTGTTAAGCTTCTACTCGTATACAAAAATAAGCAATGACACCTAAAATCATTGAACCGAAGAGCATATATCACAGAGCCCTACATAACCGATTTGTTCAGATATGAATATATCGTTTTAAAATACGTCAAAAAATCGTCTAAAACGACCTATTTGATTAGATATGAGAATTAACATATAATCTAATCCCAAACTGAAATACCTTAATTTTGATATGGTCATTAAAGGTATAAAGACTTGGATATGGCCGAAAACAGTTCTTCATTCTTGTTCCAATTGCGGTTGCCCCTCGTTGGGAGACGACAACCTTTTTCTAATTTGAACCAAAAAGCTTTTCATAAAAGTTTATCAGCTGCTCGGAGGCTTCTGGGAATGAACTATAAATCCCTACGTTTGTTGGGCGAAAACTCGGGGTTTTATATAATTGCATTCTAGAGTATTTTATGTGGGACAACTTTAAACACTTTTAACTATTTACATACCAATTGTACTTATATTATATATACTTGCATGCACATAAAACTATTTCTATTTCCAGGATAATGGTGTGTCACATTTAGATTTCAATCGCAATAATCAGTATCGTAGCACTATACAGGTGATGGGCACAAAATCCAACAATTACAACAATAACAATACACGCACAACACCGGTGCCACAACCAAGAAGGTATGTGTACGGTGGTTCTGTGACGCCACAGCCACTACGTAATTCAGATATCGGTGCGGGCAATAATGGTCTATCGCATGGGTGAGTTCACGTTACCTTTCGTTTTTCGTTTCCGTTTTCGTTTCCGTTTCCGTTTCCGTTTGGTGTTCTCAGTACTCGTATATGGTTAAACGGTGTAAGAACAACACATATCATACATATTTGTCAATAATTTGTGGTTATTTTGGGTATACGGTTGTTCACAGTTCCTGCTGGATATATTTATATACTCGTAAAAAACATGCCATAAAAAAATTTGGTCAATTTTACAACTATAATTACTGCGAAAAACATACTAATTTAGTGCCAATATGCAAATGCATAAATATGGTAATAGTAAATGTGTATTTGTCCATTTGTTTTCATTCTTTCTTATACGTAAAGTATGTATTACTCAATGATTGTGTCTCACCCCAGCAACAAATGTGTCTAAACTTGTTTACTTAACTTAATATTACATACTTTTTATACAAATTTTTATACATATTTACTATATGGCAATTGTGTGAAAGTGTTAATTATGGATTTTTTTTATTGGTTATTTCACTTTTTGTTCTTTTCTTTACCAAACACTCAATTAGATCATCGCAAATTAGTATGGCAAGCACAAACCCATTTGAAACGGATGATGATGACGATGAAAATAATGAAGATATCTCGCTGGCCGGAGATAGGCTGATGATAACTTCAACACCTAACAAGCAACGAATACACCGTAAAAAACGACGTGCACCTGCGCCACCAACCGTTGGAGTATGTACAATATTAAGTTTGCTATAATTATTATATTCAAACATTGACTTTAATTTACATACAATATACATATACGAGGTGTGTTCAAAAAGTATCGCGAATTCTGAAATTTCGCGGGTTATATATAATCGGATCTCAATTTTTTGTGGCGTTATGTTGGTACTCCTGTCTGTCACTTATGCCGACAAGCTCGGCCATTTTGAATGTTCACTTCATTGTTGACAGCTGCTTTGCTTGCACGTGTTTTGGATGGTCTTCGATTTTACCTATTCAAAAAAAATGGATCAAAGAACCAGTATCAAATTTTGTGTGAAAAACGAAATTAAGTGCGCGGATGCATTCCGAATGTTGACTGTGGCATACGGAGCAGCTACCTTGGACCGAAGCAACGTGGTACAAAATGTTCTCAGAAGGCCGAGCACTTCAACAACTGACAAAAAAATTAATTGCAGGGGGGTGGTGCATCATGAGCTCTTGCCACAGGGTAGAACGGTCCATAAAGAATATTACCTGCAAGTTATGCGCCATTTGCTCGAAGCAATCCACCAGAAACGCCCGGATTTGTGGAAGAACAAAAATTGGCTTTTGCACCACGATAACGCCCCTGCTCACAACTCACGACTTTTTGGCCAAAAACAACACACTAATGATGCCGCAACCACCGTATTCCCCAGATCTGGCCCCCTGTGACTTTTTCTTGTTCCCTAAACTGAAGAGGCGCATGAAAGGACGACGTTACACTACGATTGACGAGATAAAGACGGCATCGAAGGAGGAGCTGAACAAGATAAAAAAAATGATTTTTTGAAGTGCTTCGAAGATTGGAAAAACCGTTGGCACAAGTGTGTACTATCTCATGGGGATTACTTTGAAGGGCACAAAATAGATATTCATGAATAAATAAATAATTTTTGAAAAAACACAAAATTCGCGATATTTTTTGAACAAACCTCGTATACCAGAAATTTAAGTTAGAGTCAGAATGTCGTTGGAAAAGAGTGTTGAAAACGAGTAGGAAACTCATAAACTCGAGATACGTACAGAGGGTTTGATATATAGTATAATACATAAAATTCTTTGTTTGTTCGTGCCCAGTGACTGACGGATCAACCCACAGCCTAAGTCACTGATCATATATTATATACGACTTAGACATTCGTTAATACTCTGGATCCGAAACGAATTTATTTGAAAAAATTGTATTTACTGTTCGTTTTGTGTGAAATTTGTATGTTTAAAAGCATCAATTTTATTTCAAAAAAAAAAAACCTTGAATTAACTATGAGCAAATTTTTATGTTAATCCATTCGCATTGGTATTTATCATGTCTGTAACCACAAATGAAGCTCAAAGCAGGGTTAAATTGAGGGAAAGCCCTCAATTTCTTCAGCCAGTTATATGTGGTATTCTTTACAGTAAGCGTAGAGAGTAGTCTGGAGATTTTAGCGTTCGAAAGAAAAACAAAAAATATTATTTACGAATAAATACTGGTAGGACCGAATTACAAAATCCGTGCACGTATCGGCCATCGTACGAAAGAAAATTACGTGGTACGTCTATTGCATGAACGGAATGGGGTTGTAACATGCGAAAGCCGATGGATAGATATTAACATCCACTTGCGCTTGGATAGTAACTTGACCTTGCACAATGAATGTGGGACTATACACATTTTTTCAAAAATAAATTAATTTAAACAAATTCAAGCTAAATGCTCCCGAATGAAATGATGAGGAAAATGATAAAAACTTAAGCACTTATAAAAAGAGCACCTGCGATTCCACAGAAGGAATGCAATAATGTATGCGTATCTCAAAATCTTCTCTAAGCAAGTTCTTCCGAATACGGAGGATGGTCGATGAGAGAAATCCCTTTTTTCATTAAAAATTCGAGCGATTTTTTGGTCGTCATTTAATTCATGTGGAACAAATCGCGCACAGACTTTTCTTTTCCCCAAATCTTCTGTTAAAATTCTCCAAATAGTGTTTTTCCTCGTATTCACTTCCTCAGCCAACATTCTCGTTGTAAAATTTGCATCGATACCAATGATTTCACGGACTTTTTCCACCAGTTCAGCACGATTACTAGTTTCTGGACGTCCTGCTCTAGGGTCGTCATTTAAATCCTCACGTATAAACTTGCGTACGACTCATACAATCATCACAATAAACTTTTTCATTAATTTTTTTTTTTCAAGTTTGACACAAAATTTTATATTTGCTCTTTGTTCCATTTTATTTTTGAACCATTAGCACACTTTTGGTTTTATTGAAATGGCTGTCACTTTTACATCTGTCATCCGGCTTACATGATGTTAGATGCGTTTGAAAGAGGATGAATGTATCTTTTTAATGTTGCAAATTTTCAATAGATGGCGCTGTATGTTGTATGATTTAAATATAAAGTTGGGTTATTTTTAGGACACACCGTGTAATCATGCTTACGAAAAGCCCTTTCTTCAACACTTTTTTTCCTATATACATACAATTTATTGAAATAGTAAGTTCCAATGACCATAAACCGTAACTAACAGTTACACGTTGAGCATGGAGAGGTTTTTCAATAATAAATCTTGGGTATTCCGCTGCTATAATATATGTATATACACGTAATTAGTGTATTCACAAGGTGTCATATTTTTTTATGACTATCATATAAACACTGTTTTCGTTTCCCATGCAAAATTGAAATATGGCAAATACAACATACTCGTAGCGAGGTATGTGTATTGAGTAAACTATTTTATGAGATGTATCTATTTCCTTTTTTATTGTTTATTGTTATTAAATAAATTTTATTAATTTCATTAATAATATGCAAGGAAGTCACAATATCCAGGTAAATTAAGTTGAATAAAAGGGGAGAATATAAAAAGATTTTGTTGTTTATGTGTTTGCAAATGATTTTATTGCATTGCAAACGCGGTGCATAAGGGAAATGCGGCAGAAGAAATCTTACACAATATGACATACAACGTTTAAGTGGTGCTCACAAGTGTCGTATTTTTTAAGACAAAGCCTGTGAAACGCCTAAATATTTATTTTCTGTAAATATATTTCACCTAATTTTTTTTATTTTATTTTAGTTTATTTTATTGCATTTTATTTTATCTTACTTTATTTTATTTTATATTGTTTTATTGTATCTTTTTATTATTTTTAATTTTATTTTTTTCTCATTATTTCTTATTTTTATTATTTTATTTTATTTTATTTTATTTCTTTTTGTTTTATTTTATTTTGTCTCATTTTATTTCTTTTTAGTTTATTTTATTTTGTCTTTACTTTTATTTTATGTTCCTTTCTTTTATTTAAGTTTGTTTTATTTTAAATTATTTAATTTTTTTACTTGTATTTTATTTTATTTTTTATTTGTTTTTATTTTTTTATATTATTTTATTTTGATTCATTTTATTTATTTGGTTTTGTCTTTTATTTTATGTTATTTTATTTCATTTTATCTTGTTTTATTCTAATTTAATTTAATTTTTTTTTGTTATCTTTTATTTTGCTGTCTTCACTTTATATATTTTCTTATATTTAAGTTAATTTTAATGTCACTACAGATTTTGATTTTATTTGTTTTTAATATTTTAATTTTTTATTTTACTTCATTTAATTTGAGTTTATACCTCTTTATGTTATTTTATTATAATATATTTTATATAATTTTAATTACTTTTTTTAGTTTCATTTTATTTTATTATCTTTTACCATATTATTCTTCGAAATTATTTTATTTTGCTTTATTTTATGCTACTTTTTCTCATATTATTTTATTTAACTAATTTAATTTTGTTTAATATATAGATCTTCTCTTATTAATGTTAATTTTAAATATTATAACATTTTTCAAGTTTGCTTTTCTTTAGCTTTATAATTTTTTCCTTTTTTTATTTCTTTTTATTTGATCATCTTTTATTATTTTTTATTTTATTTGTTTTTCTTAATTATTACTTTTTGCTTTATTTTATGTTATTTTTTCTAATATTATTTTATTTAACTAATTTAATTTAATTTATTATTTTTAATTTATTTCGTTTGATTTAATTTTTATATTTATTTCATTTTATTTATTTTTGTTTCATGTTACTGTTTTTCTTTCATTTAATTTAACTATTTTTTTATATTAAATTTTCTTTTTAATTTTATCCAGTTTTATTTTTAGTTATCTTATATTATTTTATTTTTTTACTTTATTTTATTTTATATTATTTTATTGTATCTTTTTATTATTTTTAATTTTATTTTTTTTTTATTATTTCTTATTTTTATTATTTTATTTTATTATATTTTATTTTATTTTGTCTCATTTTATTTCTTTTTGTTTTATTTTATTTTGTCTTTTCTTTTATTTTATGTTCCTTTCTTTTATTTAAGTTTGTTTTACTTTATTTTATATTATTTGATTTTTTTTTACTTGTATTTTATTTTTTTTATATTATTTTATTTTGATTCATTTTATTTTATTTTGTTTTGTCTTTTATTTTATGTTCTTTTCTCTTATTTTATTTCATTTTATCTTGTTTTATTCTAATTTAATTTAATTTTATTTTGTTATCTTTTATTTTGCTTTCTTCACTTTATACAATTTTCTTATATTAAAGTTAGTTTTTAATGTTATTACAGATTTTGATTGCATTTGTCTTTAATATTTTAATTTTTTATTTTACTTCATTTAATTTGAGTTTATACCACTTTATGTTATTTTATTATAATTTATTTTATTTAATTTTAATTACTTTTTTTTAGTTTCATTTTATTTTATTATCTTTTATTATATTATTCTTCTTAATTATTTTATTTTGCTTTATTTTGTGCTACTTTTTCTCATATTATTTTATTTAACTAATTTTATTTTTTTTTTTAAATATAAATATACCTTTATTTAAGTTAATTTTTAATGTTATAACATTTTTCAAGTTTGCTTTCCTTTAGCTTTATAATTTTTTACTCTTTTTTTACTTCAATTATTTATAATTTATACTGTCCGTTATTTTCTGGTGTGTTATATTGTTATAATTTATTTAATATAATTTTATTTATTTCATTTTATAATTTCATTTTATTTTATCATCTTTTTTTGTTTCTTATTTTATTTGTTTTTCTTAATTATTACTTTTTGCTTTATTTTATGTTATTTCTTCTAATAGTATTTTATTTAACTAATTTTATTTGGTTTATTATTTTTAATTTTATTTCGTTTGATTTAATTTTTATATTTATTTCATTTTATTTATTTGTGTTGCATGTTATTATTATTGTTTTTTTATTTAATTTAACTATTTTTTAATATTAATTTTTCTTTTTAATTTTTTCCAGTTTTATTTTTAGTTACCTTATATTATTTTATTTATTTTTATTATATTTAATTTTACTTTTGTTTCGGTTTTTTATTTTTTTTAATTGTTTTATTTAATTAATTTTGATTTAATTTATTTAAATTTCTTATTTTATCCGTCTTCATTGAATTTAGTTTTATTTTATATTTATTTGTTTTATTTTCCTTTATTATTTGAATTAAATTAAATTAGTGCTATTGGTGGGGAAATCGGCAGGTCAGTTTTTCGAGACGTACATTTTTTTGAGACGTTCTTCATTTGAAGTTATAACTCTTTCTAGAAAAAAATTATTAATTTTGAATATACAAATATTATTCTAAGATCAACACCATCTCCATTTAATACTTATATGTTATTTTTTTCATTAGGTTCACAAAACAAACACATCAGCGGATTCTAGTCTCGATATATCTCTATCTCCACAACCGCTACCGGAATTGCGCATCGAAGAATGCATGGATATTGCTAATCTGACAGCGGCAATAGAAGATTTCGTTAAAACAACAAATGAAGACGCCGCCGAGCCAGCGCCAGTTGCTGTAGTAAATCAACAGACAACACAGACACAAGAGCCCACTATTACCAGCTTCACAACAAAACCTAATGGAGAAGCGACACAAGTTTCAGATAATACACACGGCAGTCCAAGTGAAATCAGAAAAGAAGCGACCAAAGTAGAAATTAACCATAAATCCGAAGAATCTGCATCACAAGAAACTGCGCAAAGTTTGGATCCAAGTGACGCATGCGCCTCTAATGACAACACAGACCAACCTCAAATTGTAACTGAAACAGAGGTGGGGCATGTGGAATGCATACACGTACACATGGGCAGCCCAAACCCAACACCAAGTCCCGTTGAAATTTCTAATGAAAACAAGCTGACAAGCTTCCGTAGCAATGAGACACGTACGCCTGAACCACAACAACCGATCACAACGAAAACATCGTTTACACTAACAACACCACCAACAACGCGACGAGACTCTGTTAAGAGAGCGAAAGTTACATTAAAAACAACGGAAACATTGAAATTTCCCGAAACTGAGCCATTGAGAATCACAGAGAATGTCACAACACCAAAAGCAACAAAATCACCAAATTCAGAAAAACCGATATTAGCGGCTAAACCGCATATTGCTGAAATTCACAAACCAGCGCGTGGCCTAATAAACTCATTCACTGGCGTCCATAGTGAGACAGTAAATGAGAGTCAATCAACAGCGCGTCCAGTGCCACCAATGAGCCCAGTACCACCAAAACGTCACAGTGCGGCAACGAGAATGTCACAAAAGAACGTTGTAGAACCAAAAATTGAGTTAAAAGTCGAACAGGAAGCCGCAACAAGCGCTACGTCACAAACCGACACCCAAGCACTGGTCATCACTGAATCACGTGAAGATTTGCTTGAAAAGAATGGCGCTGAAATTAATGACGTAGATAATAAGCAGCAAAATACAAATACTCCGCAGCGTACACAATCGCCAAACGAGTTGCGTGAAGAGGTGCTGGAGTCATTATATCGTCCTAAGCCAACTACATCATACATGGAATGGAAGCAATCATCGCTAGCGCCACTCGAAAAGAATGTGCCACCCGAAAAGCGCAAGTCCGTTAAGGACATTATTGAATCCATAAACAGAAGTCAACGTTTATTAAATGCATCCGCCCATAAAGATACGACGCACAACGGTTCTAGCCTATCACTAGGTCCAGGCAGCGCCAGTGGCACGCCACTACCACGACGAAAGTTTAGCGGTCATTCGGTCAATGAAAATGGTGTGACAAGTGAGAGTCAACGCTCCGCGGCAGTTAATGGCAATTCAACAACATCTGATCATGACCTTAACGAGGATTCAGTACCATCAACATCGACGGCAGCTGGTAATAAAACCTTAAACGGTGTTGGCAATGATCAAGACCCTAATAAGCTAAACAATAATGAAATATTTAAGAAATGTACTGTAAAGAAAGACGTGCAATACGATTACAGAGAACAGTCGCCGACAGCGTCTAATCTCGATTGGAATCCGGTGCCGAAGCCAAAGCGTAATAAGAACTTATCAGAGCAATGAAGCGATGATGAAAGATATTTGTTAATAGTCATTTAGTGAAAATTTTAAAGCTTTCATAGAGAAGAAAAAGAAAGTAGCTATAGGAAAATATATAAAAATAATAATTACGTATGTATAAAGGAGAATAGTGTCAAAAAAAAAAAAATTAAAATAAAAAATTTAATATTATGTTTAAACATTTTTAACATGCGGCAGAGCTCTGGAAGAAGTAGAAAAAGGATATTTGCTATGTGTTTGTACTTGTTGGTGCATTCTGCCATTAAAACACAAAAATCACCTCTAGACAGGTAAAAAGTCGTTTGTGTGTTTTTAGACATGTGGTTTTCAAAAAAAAAAATGCAATACATATTATTTAATGTTATGACCAGGAGGGCTTGCGATTATGTTTTAAAAATGATTTCGAGCAAATGACCGGCTGTCGCGGCTGTCTCGAAAAAACTCACGCCCCAATTTTCGACCACTTTTTGCACCAATCATGGCGTAAATCAGCGCTGAATATTTTCTTTTACAGTGTCAATCGTTTTGGCCTTATTGGCGCACACATGCGACTTCACATAACCTCACAAAAAATAGTTTAACGTTGTTAAATCTGATGATCTTTTAGGCAAAGCTACAGGCTCAGCTGAAGATGCCTTCAATAAGTTGTTTGTTTCGTTGGCTGTATGGCATGTAGCGCCGTTTTGTTGGAATCAAACGTCCAACACATCAAGATCCTCCAATTCAGGTACAAAAGAGCTATTGATCACGGCTTTAAAACGTTCCCCACTGAATGTAATATTATGACCGGCTTCATTTTTGAAGAAATCTGAACCAATAATTTCCTCTGCCCATAGAGCACATCAATCAATGAGTTTTTTGAGGATGTAACGGCAATATCCAACCAAAAATTAGCATCATCAATTTTCTTTTGTAGCATCGCGCGACGTAAAACGACGTAAAAGTTGTGAAAAATGCCAACGCTGTAAAAAGTATTGCCTCATTGAACACCACATGTCTCTGACTTTGCTTTTTTAAATTATATAATTATTAGATTTTTATATTTTACATTATTTTATATAATTAATAATGACTACACCTACCAAAGAGGTCCTCCAATGCTACATTACAATATATAATTAGCATGTATGTATGTATGTATGTATTTACATATAACTTGCTGGATCTAAAGTGTATAAATACCTCCTTTCAATCCTTTGGTCCCACTTAAAATTTAACGGTGCAGCTGCCCATGCGGCAATATATTTATGTAACATAATTAAATGTGTACGTATATATTGTATTAAATATAAAAAAATATATATATATATATATATGTATATTTGGTATTTTAAACTTAATTGAGTAAAATGTGCAATTTTTTTTTTAGATATTTGACTAAATAAATATTTCTGCCAATTCAGATGATTGAATTTTATTGAAAAAAATATATAAAATTTTTTTATTTTATTTTTTCCATAGACATATCACACACGAAATCAAAAACAGTTACAACTCAAAATTTAATAAAAATTATTTTTTTCCATAAACCAGTTCACCAACAACGCACCTCTGACGACTGCCAAAAATTTTTTAAATCTTAAGCTCTGCTCGGTGAAAAATATCAGTAAGAATTAGGCAGTAAAGAAAGTCAAAATTGTGATCTATTAAAACCAAATTTGTTTGTCTCTTTTTTTGCTCACCGAAAGCGGTTCAGTAAAATTAAGTAACAGTTGCTACTCCCTATTTGCTCACCGAACAGAGCTAGTGTCTTCCTCAACTGGAAATAATACTATGTTACTAGCTTCAAAAAAAAATTGAACATAAATTTGAATTTAGGTGAGGTGTTTTCGACGAGTTAGAAACATAAATTCTTCATAATACCACAGCAGATGTCATCATAGTCCACGTTTCTGCGTGGTATAGCTGGATGGGAATTTTGGGTAGCTTGAAGAGTGTGGTCTTTGCTGGTTTGTTTAGAGAGGACATTTCTATCCCATTGTCAACTTAGTCCAATGTAGCACCTGAGTGATTTACTAATGGATTTCAAGGTTTTTCTAATCGAAAATTGCACCATCTTCGTTTCAGCTCTGCAGCTCGTAGTATTTTCTTCCGCATCGAATTAAATAAGTCACACTTAAAACTGCTGTCTTGCGGGAAACCTCGTTTAGTGTCGAAAGGCTCGGATAGATCCTTCCCGATCCTTGTCGCAGTTTTTGTTATTGCTCAGCATTAATTTGCACAGCCGCACTAGCTTTGCGTAGATAGGAAATAAAGGCATGCCGGCATAGAGGCAGCTGCTTTTCATTTTCGAAGGCCATTTTAAATTCGATGAAGAGGTGGTGGGTGTCAATTGTTTTCTCAAGGATATTTTCCAAGATTGGGATTACTTCACTAGCCATTTCTTTTCGTGCCCCCTAAAACTTATCTTCCCCCGAGTCCGGTCCCGATGAAACAGCTCATTTCCTGGACCTGCCACTAAATAAACAAGACGATTTAGACTGATCTAACCTGCTCCTAAGCGTGGCTAGTGAGTCACAACAACAACAACAAGATCAGATCAACAGATAAACTATCCGCTCCCACTGTTTTGTTATTCTTCAGACGAGTAATTGCTATTGGGCTTCCCATCTTCGAGAACTTCACTTTCACTTAAATTCACATCATAGTGGGTTGTAAGTACGTTGCTAAGGATATCGGCATATCCATATATATACACGTATATGGACACGAGTTCCAGCTTCTGGTGTTCTTTGTTTCCCTGATTAAGCACTTCCCAATACATCGAGGAATCAGGATCCAAAGACTATAATTATAGTAAATTAGTTCGAGGTGTCCAAATTATAAATTTAGTACAGCCATACTTGCGTAGGCTGTTCATAATTTTCTCAAAGAATTTTCTCCAGAACTACGGAATATTTAGTCCTTAAAAGGGAAACTCTTCGAATAATAAATTGAAATGATGTATCTGCCAGCGGCTTGCGACCAGCCTTGCTACGTTACAAGTGGCTTCAGTACGCCATCTATATTGGCCTTGTAACTGAATTGGCCTGCTTTAATTTGTGGTGGGTCTCGTTGTAGAAGGGACCCAAAGTATATTATAAGTCGCATCCGAAGGGCCGATAGATTTTTATGAGGAACTTTTGTTTCATGTCAAAAATATACTCGTGGGGACGGCCGCCACTAGAAAAATTAATTTTCAGTAATTTTTTATGTTGATCGTACCTGGGCTCGAACCATAGCCTTCCGAATGGCAGTACCGTCACATTCTATTGCAAAGTTGAATTGCAGAAATCTAATGGCAGCTTAGCTGTTAGAGTATGTATTAAGATTGATTAGTGTTCATAGATTTAACCAGCCTTTCGGTGGTTTAAGTGATAGATCTCAGGTATTATTTTGTAAAAGAGTTTGTCAAAACAGACTTTAGATGCTAAGTAATCCACCTCTTTCGGAACGCGTGTGGGCTTTATTCATAACTATATTCCTTAAAGGTTGAGCTGCATTCAGTTCGTCTACATTCGTCGTCGCTTGAAGTCTGAACAAAGGTCTAGTGAGACGAAGCTTATAAGGGTTTCTAGTTCGTTTAGAGTGGATGAAAGTGCTCGGAGCTGCACTTTGCTTCTAAAAGCGATGTAAGTGTATTGAACAGCAACAACTTTCTTGGTTTTTTTTCGCATATTGACTTTAGTAATAATATTTAACGTCAGTGAAATGAGTTATCTTCGTGCCGATTATTAGAGAAGATTTAAGCGAGAGAACAATATGTGAGACATGCTTAGTGAATTGCTTAGTGAATTAAAACAAAAGTTCCACGGTTTCCCCTACTTCTTCGTATTAATTCCAGTAGGCACACGTTTAAGCCCGTGTTGGCAACGGCTTAGAAGTCGTTTGGCATTTCTCCTATTTGCGCCAATTCTAAGTAAAGCCATGTCGTTCTTAATCTAATCTTGCCCACAGCTCAATTGCAACGGATTTCTGCGATTCTGCCAGTCGGTATGAAACGAATGGCTGCGTTTACGACTATTTTTCAGGTTTTGATAAATTGCTACAACAACTACAATAATAATTCTGTCAAATTAATTTTGATGCGAGGAGCACCGTTGAACCGTAAGTGGGTAACAATGCTGAAGGCACAGATGTAGAGATTTGAGGTGCGGTTGAGTACTGGCTGCAAGATACCACGTAACGCCCACTCTGTAAGGGCTTCAAGATGACTCCCTCTCATCTAATCAAAACGAGAGAAAGCTGAAGTGGCCTTTGGCACATGCAACAGAAATATTTCGTCGAACCAGCGTTGGGTTGTAGGATTTGCTAACCTGTTGTTATAAACGGGTTAATGTCGCCGGAAAAACGAGAGCCTTTGATCGAATAAAATTATAGTAGACCAGTTTTGTATTTATTGCTCTTTTTTTAATGAAAAACTTAAAATCTAGTTGAGAAGTACGTTAGTTGCCAAATCTCTGCTCAAGAATTGAGGAACTCTTTATTGTATGTAGAAAAATGTTTGTGTTTATATACATTGAACCTAAAATACACACTTTACTTATTGTCAAAATTTACGCGCTTATTGCGTACTTGTCAACTTCTTTTTCCATATAACGTATGAAGCGTGTTAAATTCACGCGAACCGTTTGCACCGCAGGATAACGTTCTTTCAATTCTCGGCGTTGCTGTCGCATCTACAATTATTTTAAATTGTAAGATTTTATTTTTATAAAAATATTACATTCCCACTACCTTATTTTTGAACATTTTCTCCAATTTCTTCAAAACTTCTGGCAAATTCAGTTCGACAATTAATTTTGGCCAATCATTATCGGCAAACATATCCATTAAAGCATCGAGTGCTTCGGAGATCGTCCAAACATCCTCCTCCTGAAATAATTTACAAAATGTAAGTGGAAATAAATAAATAAATAAGTATTAAATTATTATTTTACATCAACACAGGCTTCCACGATAAAAGTGATAATTGTGCGCACTAAAGTTTCCGGTAATAGACAACCCAATGTGCCTAACATGCGCAACCAATTTGCACGTATTTCACCTACACTGCAATTTTTGACACCGTTGAAAATTAGCTACAAGATTATAAAAAAGTAATAATATATATTATAACTCAGAAAACCCATATACAGATATAAGAGATAATACCTCCAAATCATTGTCGGCCATTTGACTAAAGAGCTCTTTATTTTTTTTCAGGCGCTCCAATGCCGCCCGCATTAAAGACGTAGCTGGTTCCATGACCGTCACATCTTGTGGTCCTTTGAAAACTTGTTGCCCAAGCTCCACCCAAACATCATAAATGGCCTTGACACCACCCATATCTTCTGAACTTAAGGCGTTGCAAAGATTTTGAAGACAAAGTAGTGACGAAATACGCAAGTTTTTCACTCTAAAAGAAAAAGTTATTTAAACAAATGTAATTAAATTACATTAAGAATTTTTAATTGATATTCTTACTTTGCAACCAATGCTAAACTCACTTCCCGGAGAGATTGGATAACATCATCAGGTAAAACCTGCACTTTTTGCCAAAGCTTTTAAAATTGAATAAACCAATTAGAATTTTTGAAATAGTATAATAAAATATTTTTTATATTACCTTTTGTACAATCTCTAGGGACTTTATAATTTGCACTAGTTCTGCTGGAAGTTTTTCTTCATTTTGTGTATCTCCATTACTGTTCTCATTGTCATAATCTACAACACCTTCGGCTTCTGATGACTCTTCTCCGTCTGAGTCGACCCATTCTGTGAAATAAATTTAATTTTTTAATAAAGAAAGTAAGTTTTAATTTATTTGATTGTTATTACCTTCGTCGTCACACGATACCAAATTCGTGATAATCTCTGCTGCAACACGATGGGCATCCAATAAATTGCTAACCTCTTTCACGGCAATATCTGCAGCCGTAGGCAATTCTAGACGCCTTCTTCTTAAAGCAGCCGCTTCTTCTGTCTCTTCTTCCTCAGTTTCCATGTTAATATCTAGTATTGGCAGACTTTCATTTTGGTCGTTTTCTTTATGACCACTTAATACACTCGACAGTGCTTCCTTGTGGTCCACAGCTAAAGCTTGTGCCAGACTATTTAAGATATTATTGGTGTAAGCTGCTGCTAACGCTGGCACATTTGACAAAATTCCTTATAATACATAAGAAAAAGCAAGAATATGAGTACCAAAACAATTATATTTCAAATATAAAACTATTACCTCCCCCTAATGTGCGTAGATAGAAATGCCCGTAACTGCCAGATAAATCAAGCAAACTCAGCAACGCAGGTACATGTTGTGTCAACACATTCCAAGCTCTCTGATTACTCTCCGACACTACTAACAAGCATTGCGCAACAGAAATCGCTATATCCAAGCCATAGACAGAGTGATCCAGACACCGGATTAAGCCACCAATTAATTGTGACTGATTAAATGTGTCCAAAGCAGTAGATGAACTTTCACATAGGTTCCAAAGCAGATTTATAGCTTGCAAAAATGTATCTGACCGAATATCGAGTTGACCGCCCATTGCTTCATCAAACGTTGCTACCCATTGGCTGTCCTGTGCGTATTCGTTTAGCAGAGCCAAGAGTGGTGTAAGGACATCTTGTTCAACAAGTATGTCACATACTTCCTAAACAAAGAAAACGAAATTTTCAACAAAAAAAATATATGTATTTAATTAAATATTTATACGTACAGGCATACAGACGGTGAAGTTACGCAGTGCACCCGCTGCTGCATTTCGTAACGGCTGGTCGCGATCAAAAAGAAACGGTGCTGCAATGCGTATAATATCACTTTGGCAAATAGCTATAAGCTTATCTTTTTTGCCGGATTGCACCAGAACTGCAAGGGACTGCAAAGCATTTAATTTTTCTTCAACATTCACATTTAATAGCTGTTCACGCATAGTGTCCACTGGACCCAAACCATTGTCCATAAAATCATCATCGGCATTTAATAATTCAGCAATACCATTCAATGCCAAGGGATTGGAGTTAGCCACAAGACGAACGCGGTTTCGTCTCGTTTTACCCATTTTTTAAAAACCAATAACAATTTGACTAGTTGGAAAAACAGACTTCAAGAATATTTTTCAATAAATATATTGCAATAAAGCTTACCATGTATTCACTAGAAAACTACGTTACCCCCACGTGCACGACCACAACAACAAGCGATTTTCACTTATGCTATTTCGACTTTTAGCGCTTGTTCCTTATATTGCTCATTTTGTCGACTTTCATTTTGTTTTGTGTCACATTTTATTGCATCTTTATTCAAAGTTTTCAAATACTACACCATAACTCGAAACTATCCTAAGTGTGGGATGCCACATGGTCTAAAATGTTTTTAATTAGGCATGATACACCGTGAAAATAACTAATTCACAAATTGAAAGGCTTATGATGACAGCACAGAATGATAACTAATAATAATAAAATTATATAACACAATGTTGTTGTTGTTGTTGTTGTTGTAACCGCAAATTAATCCCCGAATTGGTTTTCGGGTAATATTGGGGGAGTGACAGTCCTTGGTCGTTCCGGTATAAAGACCTGACTGTCGCGGGAACTATTGGATTTTAGTCGCCTCTTACGACAGGCATGCCTTACCACGGGTAAATTCTTGAGCCCCTAACCCGCAGGGGCATCACAATAAATGGGACTGTTGGATTTTGATGCCGGTGCATCATTGATATATCGCGATTAGATGAATATGAAACAATCCAAAGACTGAAAACTCATACTCTTTTCTTTTCTCCTCAGGAAGTTGTTTCAGCATTTGCAAAGGCTTATTAATAGCTTAAAAGCAGCGAACATGCTTAGTTGGAGTCATTTTGATAATGGTTATGTTATAAAATAGAGGCGCACAAATCTATCAAAGGGACAGTTAGTAGGCAATCGCTGTTAACCTGTGGCGACTTGAGGTTAAATTTTTGGCATATTCATGTTAAAATCAAGTTCTTAATTTTACAAATTATTATACCCGTCATAAGCTCCATATGGAAGGAATATAGAGAGACTCACCAAAATCAATAGAGATCGGAACAGAATGACTAGTTACATTAATTTACGGTTTCCGTCTGTCATTCTATCTGCCGTCCGTCTGACCACTAGGCCAAAACTATTATCGAAAGTTAAATTGGTTCAGTTATTTAATTTTAAATATTTAAATTAAGCTGTAGGCAGATGAGATTATTGCGTGGTGTTGCGCGTAGACACCTATGATGAATACTTGCAAATCTACGGTATTTCCCTCATAAGCAACGCCGAGAGCAATACAACGCCAAAAATTAGTCAACTCTCCCCATCTTGCAGCCATTAATTGGCAATTGATGTTAATTTCCGTATACTTTACTAATTCCATCAAATATTAATTAATATAAATATTATTATTGTTATTATTATTAATTAAATTTAACTTCCGGACGAGAAAATAATAGGGTATAAAACAACCCATTATGGCATAACATTGGTTATGTTAGCAAAGTTGGAAATGTCACACAACGGGATAATTTGGCATATGTTTAAATTCATCGAAACATTTATGTCGATCCATCTCTTTTTCAAAAACCAACACGATGGCAACTACTTAATAAACGAATGATGTAAATTTAAGGAAGCTCAGTAGCAGCCAGCAACTAGCGGTCAGCAGCGCAGCTTCTTCCTTGAGTAGGTAGCAACGACGATAAAAAATGGATTTTTTGTGGAGGAAAGTGTGACCTTCGTTGTTAGCTTTCCAGATATTACAAGTATAACATTAAATTTGAAGAATATATTTAGAAAGTACATACATGAAATAGTGATTAGTTCTTGCTTCACTATCACGATTAATATACGTGAAAGAAAAGCAGTGATAAACATCGTAAAGAAGCAGATATGTGAAAGATATGTATGTGAACAATGCTGTGCAGCATAAGAATGTGAATGTGAAAAGGGAACAAAGAAAGAACGTGTGCAATTAACGTATGTGTGTTGTATATCAAAGAAAGAAACACGCGAAGACACAACGAGTCGGTGGGAAGTGGACTTCAAAAACCCTACTGCGCTGCTCTCAAATCGAACATTGTGCAAAGCTCTTTTTGGGGCTTATTAGCGCATGGGGATAATACAGAGTTGCATTTGTGTTTGGTGGATTCTCGGCATTTGACATTGTAATAAAATGCCAAAAAGTCTAATAGAATATATTTTATCTGAATACATCATGTAAATATTCGTTTTAAAATATTTGCTTCAATTGTAATCAAAAGATGGCGGTAAGTATGATAATATTAAAAGAATTTAAGTTTTAGTTTGACGAATAAATCGAAGTAAGGTGGTGGTGTTGCCACGCTTGGCAATAAAAGAATAGCAAGGAGTACGACCCGTAATAGCACATCGGCACATCGATACCTTTTTATTTTGCAGAATGTACTTACTTTTTTTACTTTGCCTTTGTTTAAACCTTAATTATATAGTTATACAGCTGAATGGATTATCCATTTTGAAAAAAATAGTTATTAATTAACGCATGAATGAGATGTCATATACTATTATTAGAGTATCAGTTAACTTATTTAAATTATATTTTGAGAGACACAGAGGTCCTCACTTTAAACTTCAACCACTAACTCTGTATGGAATTACAGTCTGAACGAAATAATTTTTAAACTTTCAGTCTCAGGGAAGTTTAAAATTAATTTCTATGTAAAATTAATAATCCCCTTTACATGGCAAATTTATAGCTGTGAAAACAGCAATTATCGTGTATGTTTTTGCTTTTGGGTAACTGCTGCCAAAGAACTGAAGAATAATGTTGACATCTCTATGTTAAATAATTGAAAAAACTTGGATTCACTGCCGTAATAACTTCGCCTTATTAAATTCGCCTTTAAGATTTCGAAATTAAGTTTTAAGTGCAGTCAAATAAAATAAATGTTTTAATTGCTGAGGAACCATTGGAAATTGATTTTCAGAATTGGAAAATATTTGTGCAGTCACATATTGACGCATATTCTTGGTGCAGTTGGAGAAAAATTGGTTTCAGATATTTTGAGAGTCTTGTCTTTGTTATTTTGATGCTATCTTCTGGGAATTGCATAGCTTTGAATGAAATAAAAATTTCTATGTCTGAAGCACCTTACCTAAATATTTTTTTAAATATGTGGCAATATTGGTTTATTTGGGGATTCAACCCCATCGTATGTACATCATGTGCGTGCAAGGCTGTGTACAGCAGAATGGAAGAGAATGAAGAATTGTAATAACTGCGAAGTGTACATAAAAGAAATTTTTGAAGAAAGGAAGAGGAGCGCCATACGCGTAGTAGGTGGATGAAAACGGCAAGTAAAAAGAAAAATTTGATTATAACCAAATTTTGTTAATTTAATATCAGTTTAGAAATGATAGTTTGTGCAAATGTTTTTTTTTTTAAATTAGGAGTTACAAGAATATACGGAACCTGATTGTACACTAGTTTTTAAATCTATTTGCCTCATTTTACTCCTGCCTCACCTAAGGTATTTTTTTTGGCCATCCTTGCATCCTGAGAAGATTTTAACTTTAGTTTTTATAAGGTATATAAAGATTTTCGAACTTATTGGGCAACTCCGTTGTCCGGATTCAACTAGCTCCATCATTCACATACAATTACTCTTTGCGATTTTCTCAGATTTTCTAATTCCTTTCTTCTACTTCAATTCGGTCGTTTGTTTCATTGGTTTATCCGTGAGTATAGCAGATTCGTGCAATTTTCTTTTACAATCACTTTAATTTGCTGGTTAGTTTTGCTGATAGGAATTTTATTTAACCAAGTGCATTTAAATTGAACTTTTTATAACAACTTAAAGCCATACACTTCGGCTATACCGAAAGAGCAATGGGTTTTGCAGATGTATAGAGAAATTAATGGTCCCTACAAAGCTCTATGAGATGGGATGAAATACGATGATATATGTGGTATTCAAAGGAAGATGAAGTAGATGATGGTTAATCTGCTGAAAGTGCTATCAAAATCCTTTTTTTTTTTAAAGAGTATACTAAGAAAATATTGATAAATTTCTTAATATTCTACAATGTGTTTTAATGCCTCAGTTTGATTAGTTGATTTGAGGGCATTAATTATTTGTGTCTCCCAATGAGATTTCAACAAAAATGAAATGTACAACAAAGTAAATTGATTGTATTGCTGCCAATAAATCAATTTAAAATACGTACACTACGAGCATTCCAAAATGTGCCTAAGCGCAAATAGTGTAGTGTTTTCCAATAGTGGTTACAACTTCTAAATATAATATAAAATGATATTGTAATTTTGAAAGATATATACAACTTTTCAGAATTCCTACATTTTCAATTCTATAAATCGTGTAATAATTCTATTCATACCAAATTTATTTATTTTCAGAATAATGGATTTGCTACTGAATTTTCAGTTGGCTCTTTTAGGTAAGAATGCTAAAAATAAAAAAATCAATAAGTAATTGTAAAAAACATTCCTTTTCTCTTATTTTATAGCAATCGTTCTAACGATATACTCCACTAAAATGGAGGATTAGGACAGCTAAGAGACAATTACACGTAGGATTCACAAAACCAACTACACTCTCAAGGTTTAATAGCCTACGGGATATTAAACCGATATTTTTATAATTAAAGAAAGAAGTAAAACGCCTTTATGAACAAAGTTGGAATAGGCACGCTACAAAACAGATCGAAAATACCTTAACACTTATTATATCCCATCGTTTTGAAGTAAATATAGAAAGTAACGAAGAAACAAATATTTATGTTCAAGCTAGAGGACCAACAACATATATTCATAAATGCACCAACAACATATTTCCAAGCGAACGAGCATAATCCGAAGCTGCAGCAACAACAAAGTCTTAAATACATCTCGAGAATAGGAAAATATTGCAAATTACTAAAAAATCAGAAGTTAATTTGCAAAAAAGTATCGCCAACGAAAGTGACGGTAACGGAGAATATAAGAGAGTCCGAAAGGATTTGTGGTGCCGCACCAAGTGGCATCAATATTGATAAGTTTAAACATAAAATGGCAAATACGCTTTCCGTCATGACGAACGTTTTACGGAATGTTGTCAGCAAGCAGCGCATACGCTACAAAGAAAATGGTTATAATTTAGACTTGGCTTGTAAGTTAAATAATTATGAATTAACTTAAATTTAATATTTTTATTATTATAGTTTACTCGTTGTTTTAAAAATTATATGGTCTAGTTTTCACGGTGCTTTCCATTTCCTTTTATTATTTACAAGTTTCAATCATATATCATATATTTGAACATCACATTTTCAAAATGCTTTATTTCTATATACTACTAATATATGTATATGTTATCTTTTGTTAGATATATGTGACAATATAATAGCAATGGGTTATCCGGCTGATAATATAGAGAGTATATTTCGAAATCGTTTAGAAGATGTTTACAAATTTCTTCAGGAAATACATCAGAATCATTATAAGATCTACAATCTCTGCCTTGAGCGTAGCTATGATAGCAACAAATTTCATGGAGTAGGTATCTGAAAATAATGGAAATATTTATATTAATAATATAAACTATTCTCTAGAGAGTTGCTGTCTATCCTTTTGAAGACCATAACCCACCAACGATAGAGTTAATACAAAGATTTTGTTTGGATGTAGATACTTGGCTGAAAGCAGACATTCAAAATGTAGCTGCTGTTCATTGTAAAGCTGGCAAAGGCAGAACGGGTAATTATTAATTTTTACATGCAGGGTCATGCAAAAATATTTGCAGAATTCTACAAACTTGTAATATGAACAAAAAAATTTAATAAATATAATTTTTTAATTAGGTACAATGATTTGCTGTTATCTGCTGTACAGTGGACAGCAACACACGGCCGCAGATGCTTTAGAATGTTACGCTGAGAAACGCACAAAGGATCGCAAAGGTGTAACGATTCCATCGCAAAGGCGGTACGTACAGTATTTCGCAAAATTAATTAGTTCGGGGGTACCATATGAAAAGCGTTATCTGCAGGTAAGTCTAAAATTATTTTACAATTTTTTCAACAATTCACAGTTCACAATTTTCTTATTCTTTTATATTAGTTTTGTGAAATTCGTTTTACTGAGGCTAATTTGTTACATAGTAATGGCACTGTGCATTGCTCAATTTCTAGGCTGGAAGACAACGGGTGTTCGGTTAAAGTAGTGGTATGTGTTATATAAATATAAATATGAATAGTTTTTATTAAAACTAATTTTATATGTTTTCTTCAATATAATGTATATTAGCCACTATTAAGTTTGCCAATAGATTTTCGGAAGAGCTATACACTGGATCTTAAAAATCAGTCTTTGTGTGTTTATGGTGACATAAAAGTTGAATTAACACATAAAAAGAAATTATTTCACTTCTGGTTTAATACATATTTTGTCCGTGATGATGCTGGTAAGTTGGCATATATATATTCTATTTTTTAAACTAAATTATTTTAAAATGATGTTTTTTTGTCCCTCTAGTCATTGAAGATGAAGGTAAAGATTCCAAACTTGTGTATACTCTTCACAAATGTGAGATCGATGATGCACATAAGGACAAAGAACACAAATGCTTTTCAGAAGGTTTTAAGGTATGTGATTCAATAACTGTTTATTAGATGAGCGCTCCATATATAACAACTTTTATAACATTAGGCACTGATATGTTGTTTTCATCATATTTGTATTTGGCTGTACTTAAGTGCACTTCTGAAACGGGCGGTCAAATAACTTCTTATTTTTTATTTAATTGCAAGCATGTGTTGCACATTATAAGCAAAGGCTGTATTGTAATAAAAAAAATATATATCTAAATTACATTTAGATGTATGTGGCAAATTGTTACAAAGAATTTATTATAAATAACAATTCACCTATATACATATGTATATACTTAGATATATATTATATATTACAGTTAGCCGCCTTAGTCGGAAATTTGGGCATTGTTTCGGGAGTGACAGTTGTTTACCGGAAAAAACCATTATATTTGGTTGGTTATTGCGTGCAAATTTAATTAAAAATTATGAATTATGCTAAAAGTCATTGTCCGAATAATGAAGAGGACTATTATTGGTATTTTACCTGTAGCACCGATATTTATCTGGGTAAAACTATCGTCAAACATACTTACAACTCTATAGTCGTAGTAGTAGCAAAGCCTCTTAACTAAGCAGCTTTCTAATAACAATTTCTATAAAAACAATAAAGAATGTGGTATCATGGAATTCGTTCCATGATTTCTGGTGTCAATATTTATTCATTTGCATTTACATTTTAAGACAAACAATTTTCATGTTAATTTTTTTTTAATTTGACCCGAGCCTCATATCTGACCAAATTTGTTGTATGTACTAAAATCGATAGCAACATAAACCGTCGCAATGAACTTGATTTTTTTATTTTGGGCTAATGAATTTGATGCCATTGAGTATAATTATAGATGCTAAAGAATTTGCATACCTCAGCTAGCTTAGGTATGTAATATAATATGTATAATAATTGAATGTCCCTTTTCGTAGGTTCAACTTGTATTCTATGCAGAAACCACAATACGACCTGATCTACAAGCTAATGTTAGCAGCATAGCCAGCCAGATTGGCAATAATCAAAGATTGTCTCAAAATGCGCGTATCTCACATCAGAACAGCTGTGGAGGCGGCGGCGGCGGCGGCGGAGATAGCAGCAGTAGTAGCAATTGTCAGTTGCCACAAAATAGTAGCAGTGGTAGTGATCTAAATTACATTTGTGATCAAAAGTCCTCCTCATCAGCTTCGGCGTCCGTTAGCAGTTTGGGTGGCCACTTAATTGGTGATGGTGGTGGTGGTGGCGGTAGTGGTAGTGGCAGTGGCAGTGTCGGCGTTAGTGGAAACATTGGCGAGCCAAATTATTGTAATGCTGTACCAACTGATTTTTCCCATGTTGATGTCAGTCGTTCATATGTGCAACATCTTGAGTCACAACAACAACAAAAACCACGAATTTCGCTTAAACAAAAACATATTGCCGCAAATAGCATAACCGGCGATGTTGATGGTTACACATGCGAAGAAAATTTGACGCCATTTGGTAGATCTGCACATACGTTGAATCTTCAACAACACCAACATCAACATCAGCAATTGCAACATGCGGATCGCCCTTCCGCTTGCTGTGGGCAACGAATCTTCATGCCAGCGAAAAACAAGAGCAGTGACTGTGATGGTTGCGACTGCTATACAGGTAATATGCCTTATGAAGGTATAACTGATTCACCTACAACGGCATGTGCGCCACTTCCACTTCTTCAACAACAGCAGCAACAAAAAAACGATGAAGGAATGCCGGTTAGCTATAAGCAATTTTTGGCGGCGATTAATATAAGCGGCGACTGTGATGCTTACGATTGTGATTCAGATATATCGCCTATGAAGCGAATAAATAGCACTGCACCACCTGCAAATGCACCACTCCCACAGCAACAACCACAAAATCCTTATGTAAACTTACAACAGATGATAGTGACAGCAGACAAACAACAACAAATAATGAAATCTTTAATGAGACCAAAATCTCAAAATCATACAACAACCGTGGAAAGAGTTAGTAACAATATCAATAACGGTAATAGTAATAGGCAATTAGTTGATGGAAATGGTACGGTAATACTGCAGAGCAATGGCGCGGTTGGTGAGGGCTCCGAAACGAATGGTTGCATCAGTGCAAATAGCAGTAAAAGCAGCATAAGTAGTCATACATCGTCGACTGCATCAACAACATCGTGCTCATCGTCTGCGCCGACGTCCGGTGGTGATAAAGATTGCGAGGAAGAAGACTGGGAGTCTGGTGAGTGCCACCCAAAAATGCTACACACAAATCTACCCAAAGCATTACAATTACCCACACTATTAGCATCTTCCAAGCCATCTACGGCTAACAGTACTATAACTTTCAGTAATAATATCACCTCTACCTATCCCAATAATACTACCACAGTACACTCATATACACCTTCCACTACTACTACATACTCCAAACAGATTTCCAATTCTACTTCTATTCTTCCTCAACAATCTTCTACATTTTCTATGAATAAAAACATTTATAGTGGTAGTTATAATTGTAGTTATTGTGGTTGTGATGATGATGAAAACAAAAACAATCCAAATTTAAAATATAAATGTTCACATTTTCACGATAAGGGAAAAATGCAAAAAATCAATTTTAACACCAACGAACGACGATCGAGTTGCACTACAGTGTCTAAATTGAATGGAGCAGCAAAAAATGTCTTTATATCAAAAGAAGTTGTAAATAAGTGTGGTACTGAGGTTAATACAGGGGGTAAGATTGTAACGGGTATTATTGAGCTTACTTCTAAATCACCGCTAAATAGTGGTGATAGTGCTGTTCGTACAACAACTTCGTCGTTATGTCTACCTTTTGAAACTACACAGTTCCAACAGCAATTATGTTCAAATCGTGACAAATCCTTTCAGCACGCAGTGGTGTCTCCGCTGAAGAAAAGTGATGCCACTAACAGCAATAGCTGCAAGCAAAATCATGCGAGCAACGTCGGGAACGTGGTGAGTTCGTGGGCACACAAACCGCTCTTTCAACATAAATTCAACACTAAGAAGCTACGTGAATACAACGACATGAGCTGCTCAACAGCCATCGCCGTCAAAAAATCGAATTGCACTGTCGCATCATCCACCGCGGATGCTGCTTTGCTGGCGCTAAGTGTTTCGCCAGCGAGTGGTTGTAGCGGTTTGGCAAGCACTTCACGGCGCAAACTAAAAAATAAGTTAAAAAATAATACGAAAAAACTATCTCATTGGCTACAGAATCATTTTCGCACAAATCCTGTGGAGTTTTGTGAGAATTTTGCACAACACACGACTACTATGAGACGCAATAGTAACTGTAGTGTGGGTAGTCGTAGCCACAAATTGTCTATGTCATCCAATACGGTTACGGTAACACCGGGCTCTTCGTTGCCCAAACGACAGTTATTAATGTCAGCCTCGAAAGATAAAGATAATGAAGTGGTAAATGTAGAAACGTATGATATTTATGGCGAAGTGGAAAACGTGCTTAAAGAAGAAGTTTTGCTGATTAGTGATCATGGTGGTGATGAAAATAGAGATGGCAATGTAAGAACGAAAGTTTCATTATCCGAATCGACTACAGCATCAAATGTCAGTTTGTCGACTGTGGGTGGCGGTAGCACAGGGCGTGGTGGTCATGATGATAGTAGTGATGCCTTTGAAGATTTTTATTCGTCAAATTGTGATAATCAGCTAAGCTTTAACAACTCGCCATGTAAAAGTCCACGTTCGCTTGTCGATATAGCAGGTTCCAGCGCATATGGTGGTGGAACGCACGAACTCTACGCAACCAGTTTGAATGAGAAAAATGTACATTTGCAATTGTTGAGGCGAGAACAGCTACATATGCCGAAAAATGTGAATGTACAACCGTTGGGACAGCACCACCACCACCACAATATGCATCAGCATCAACAGCGCAATGTCGTTGTAATTGCAGCAAAACCTGCTAAAACGCACGCAATCGGTTTTAACGTTACCGAAGATAAAGGCTGCAACTACCCAACGCGCGTACCAGCCGTCCATAGTAATCTATCTTATGAGAGCGCCATGTAAACACAAAGTTGTCACCGATTTACCATAGCGTTGCTGACGTTTGTGTCGCAGAAACCAACGAAGTTTTGATTTTTCCGTAAAACCGGCTCGGCTCATTTTTCGTTGCTATACAAGGTTGCCAGTATAGCCTTTCTTAAAGTAACATTAAATAATCGAAGATAATGCGTAGTTTTGTTCAAAAGAAATGAAAACTAAATGCGTAACTAATTATTTGTTACTATATAGATCATGTATATTTGCCTTGTGTTTATGTTAAAGCAAATAAATTATGAAATTCGTTGACGAAAATTATGAATTTGTTCAAAAGTGTGCAAACACACAGGCAGCTGGCAACATTTCGCCGCTCTCAGCGGCGTCGATAGCTCGTGTATGTATTTCACTACTAACGTCGTCAGTTATGGACGGCTGGAGAGTGAGTTGGGTAGTTGCAGCCAAAGCCAGTGCCAATGTAAGCAATAATGAGATAAGCACCACACAAATTTCACCAAATACAAGTGCAGCTGAAACTTATGAAAATCCAATGAATACGCATGATATTACAATTGGCGCAAATGTCACCATAGTAACCACAGAAATGGAACAAGTTGTCGAAGAACAGGCTACTGACCAGCAGCAGCTTCATAATATCAGTGGTTATCGGGCCAGTATTAATGGCAGTGAATTATTTGTTACGAAAATCGATGAAGTTGATGAGAATGATGTCGAAGATGATGGTGCTACAACGGCATCGAGCGTATATTACACACCAACAACGTCGGCTTGTTTTGTTGATGGCACTGAAAGCGATAACGTTGAAACAAATCAAGTAAATCATCCATTCGTTTTTCCAAATGTACGCAATGAGCTTGAAAAAATTTTACCAAGCGATTATGACAATCAAACTGCTACAGAACTACGCCGTAGATGCGTCGAAAGTGCGTCTGGAAGTGAATTTCATTGCCAGGGCAATGTTGTTGTGACCAACAAAATTAACCATCAAGTTGTAGATCAGTTGAAATGTAATTGCGGTAATAAGTTATTAGAGTCTGTGGAAAAACAACAATCGATTGCACACTCAGTTAGTGTTGTAACAACAATAACACAAACAGAAAGTGCTGCTCATATTGACGATGAGAATGCCAAACAGTGATATAGGCGTTCATTGTGGTTGTTTTGTGGACGCTCGTAGTTTTTCATTACATCATTTTGTGGTGAACATTTAAAGCAGTTGGCAGTTAGAGTGCAGCAAAGTTGAAATTGGTTTGTTGCTGTGATAATAGACTATTATTCAAGTTGCTCATATAGTTAAAGGCAGATTATTTGCTATTTATAATTATTAATAAAATTTCTTTTTCACGCCTGTAAAGCAATCAAAAAACACGAAAACATCTTCGAATTGCTCTATTTTCAAATTAATTTGTCACTTTGTATGGTTTTTTCCAAATTTTTTTTCCTACTCATCACAGCGACAAACTTATTACATATTTACTGTTTGTGAATGTTATTACATTTAAACAACGTTGTTACCCACATGCACTCCTTCTACAATTGCAAGAAGCATATTGCTGGTTAGACGCCTAATCGAAGCATTCATTCTTCCACTGTTGTACGCCGCCAGAATTTGTCTTTATTCTTACATAAATGTATATATATATAATATATGTATATACATACTACAAATATGTATATCAAGATCTCATACGAATTCTCGTATAAATAACAAATATTTTACAGAACGGATTATATAAAAAATTTTTTGTTCAAGATTTTTTTTTTTTTTTTTTAATAAAAGTAAAACATATAATTAGTAAAGTAGCTACATACATACATATATAAATACAAAGTAAATGTATGCAGTTGTTTGTTATATGTAGGTTGCCACATGAAATGGCAGCAAAGTATTTATATAATCAGCACTACTAGTACTAAGAACGTATCCAACAACACTATGAATACCCGTTATATATCCTTAAAATATGAATAGAAAGCAAAAGATAAGCGCAATACAAATTTCCAAATCTTAAAAATAAAATATACAATAATTGATAAATAAAAATTTAAAAAAATATGAAAAACAACCGCTTCACTTAACAAATATACAAAATTTAATGACAAAAAATAATCAAAAAAAAACAGCGCGTATTAAACATTTTCAGAAAAATAATGCGTTAAATGTGTAAAAAACTGTAAATAAATATATACGTACGTACACAGACCGACCAAACTTAATACAAATGTCAAATGTACAGCAGTTAAACTTTAGAACGCAAATTAAATACGACCTGCATACAGTTATAAATAATTATAAAATGATTTTTTTAACAAATTTTAATGTTAGTGCTTTTTTTTAATATATTTTTCCAAAACAAAACACGTAAGATTACATAAATGTGTCTTTTTTAATCAATAAATATTATATAATTACGTTATTAGCAGTGTAGGGATTTCTACGCACATATGTACACATTTTCCCCTATATACAAAACTGGAAAATTTAACATGTATGTGTGTTAAAAGTTCATTTTAAAAGTCGTACTTCAACTGAAACAATTTTTTTTTTTAATTTTTTTCACATTTTTTTTTTGTTGTTAAAGTGAAAATCTTTAAAACAATAATTAACAACACACTTTGTACCATTAATTTTATTGATAATAAACATTTAAGCGTCGATCAATACCAAACTGTACACACTATATATAGCCTCCATAAATCTCCACGAACGACAAAGTCACCGTAGTAGCAACTTGAACGTGTGTTCGTTTGTAAGTTCGTGGTTCGCCGCTTATGTTATTCGCTTAATTATAACTTAAATATTTAATATAAATAATAATTTGCTTTACTCCAATTGCACCATTTTGCTCGTGTTCCCATGGGGTGTGTATATTTTATTTTATTTTTTTTCTGAAAATAGTGGAACGCATAAAAAATTGTATTGAAAAATAAACTGCTATTAAATACATACATACATATATAGTGAGATAAATGTATTCGTATTAAAAACTAATACAATTTTAAATATTAACAAATTTTCGTCGGCTCAAAATTCAAAGAAAATTATTTCTACTGCTGGAGATTTAGCAGCATCTTGGTTCAAAAACAAAAAAAAAATATATTCTTATCTGAAACCAACTTCATATGAGAAAATCTAATTGACGATATGCACATCCCCACATGGACACATACCGTACGCCTATACACAAGCGCTTAATATATGCCCAATAAAATTTATAATAAAAAAATGCATAAAAACACACAATGATTATATGTACGTAAAGAAAAAAATATATACATTATGTATATGTTTAAATTTATATATATATATAAATATATATATATACTTTGAAATAATGTAATGTATAGTTCGATTCTAGTTTAAAATTTTAAGTGTAAAAATATTAATTTTTGTAAACTACGAACTACGATGTATTGATTTTAATTTTGTTACTTGCTAGATATAATTTTTTAAAATATTTTTATTTAGTTCGATATTGTTTTGTAATTAATGAAACTTTTTTCACCCAAAACAGTGAAAATAATGAATAAAATTAAAAAAAGAATTAAGCACAACAAATAATTTTTTGGCGAAATGTATTTGTTGCTGTGTTAACGATTACAAATTATATTTATTTTAATTTTAATAAAACTACTATTATAGAGAAAAACAACACAATGCTTGTATAACGATTTGCTTGATTTGATTTAATGTCGTTTCTTTATTTTTATTTTATTTTTTGCATAAAAATCGAAAACTCAAAAACATCAACAAATATAAGTGTAGGTTTAATTAATTTTAGTTTTTAATATCTACGTTAAATGTGAAGTTCTCAAGTGAAAGTAATTGAATTACTTGCATACTTTGTTAATACAAGAAAACAAATGAAAAAAATTATTAAAAACAAACAATTGGAAAATTGAAAAATATTTTAGTTATGTACATACACATATATAGCTGCATAAATCTATCGTTGTATGTAGTTTGTATGTGTGGCGAACATGTTTATGTACACGTTTGTATGCCCATAAGTATAAGGAAGATGATCTGTTACTTTTAAATCATTTTTGTTTCTATGAAATTTTTATTTTTTCTGCATAAAAATAAAAAATTAAAATTTTTATTTAAGTGAAACGAACGAAATGCATACTACTACTACTGTGTAAAAGTAATATTTTATTGTTTTTGTTTAGACACTTTCACCCATTCAACTCATATATACTCGTATATCTTCTATTGACAAAAGCCAAACGTTTGTTGGACCGTTTTTTTTCAATTCTGGAATACTATGTTTTTGTTAGTTAACTGCGGCTAAATAGTTTAGGCATATACAAATGACTCTTATAATTAAATATTCTGCAGGATTTTAGACCTTCGCCTTCATCGCAAACCCCAGAATTGTTGATGTGCCTTTATTGACGTAACTGAAACTTTATATATTTGATTGCTTATTAGTATGTAAATGGCTTCGTTATTGGTGCGCGAAGCGCCTAGGTGCCCCATGGAATTCAGCGAGAAATCTTTTTTATCGCAGGTGGAAATAATTAGCTTTGTTTTGTGTCTACTTTTTTTACTGAGTAGATAGTTAGATTGGGAGTATGTGCACCGCGACCATTGGTCTACTGTTTCCTCATTCAGCTCTAAATCACTCAGAAGCTCAACAGACTTGAGAGCCTGGACGTTCTAATTTGATTTTGCTGCGGTTGTAGAGTGCCGAGGTGTTTGAATCTCTCATGAGCTGGTACTTCCGGCTTTATCTTGCAGAATCTGCGAGTTTATTCTGCGCTGTTCGTCACTCACCTCTTATTTTATTTTAATTTTCCTATATAGGGTCTCTAGTCCTATAGGGTGTTGCTTACTTATTAATGTTGTAACCGTAAAAGTATTCTTCAAAGTGTTTTTTGGGGAAAAATGTAGCGGAAATTACAGTTCTTGGCCGGATAAAAATCCGAGTCGTTACAGCATAAGGCCCGACTCTTGTGGGGTCGTGAGTACTTGATTTCCTCAAAAATAAGGTCGATCAGATGTGTCTTTGTTAAAATATTTGCCAGTATTATGACATCAACTACTTCTGCGCCAGCTGTTTTGTTAGAGATTGACCATTTTTACACTAATAAAAGCTTGATTATTGAAAAATCTGTTGCCTTTTACTGAGAAACTACTGAAACAGTCAGTCTACGATATGACCCAATGTATTTACTTTAATAATTTATTTAATTATTATTTTTTAGATTTGTGATTATTTTGAAATCTCTATTGTTTTGCATTTGTATAATCGTAAGTTTTCGAGCAGACTGCGAATGCTGGTTTTTGTTAACTTCTACACGTCAAATCAAATCAATTCCACAATTTCAAATAATTATTTTACAGCCACCACCAACATCAATCAACATAGCACTGTCTGCAATACCTATACCGCTGAGCTAGAAACCGATTCTAAGCACAAAGGAGTTGTATATAACAACGTAGGTCACAACAACGAAACTGCTAATAAAAACAAAGCATCAAGAACTTTGAGTTTTGATTATATGTATGCACTTGGCAATAGCATTAATGGCGATAATACTAGTAGCAACGGTGATGCCAACATAATTAAGGCGAGAAATCAATACGCCATTGTCTATAAACCAATAGAGGAGGATATTAACGAGAGAAGCGTTACAGCAGAAATCGATGTGGAGGACAATGTTGATGTACCAATTGGGGAATATGTTAATGGTGATATAGCTTGTGCAACTATTTTGCAGAAGTGCTGTCAAGATAGCACTCCCAACGGTTTGATGAAAGCAAAGCTGCTCTACAACCCAGTAGAGGGTATGAGTGTAAAAACCAACCGCACACGTCGAGAAACTACTTAAGCATTGAAAATGATGGTACAGGGCGAAAAACTGGAAGCCAGACACCTTTGCTTGCTTCACAAATACCAATAAATAGAATGCGCCTATTTTAGCTCTTGACGTGGGCGAAAGGCGAAATTCTAATGTTTTTTCCGTGGAAACTAAAAGAATTTAAGGACGTGAAACATGTTCCGGTAAAAGTCTGTCAGCAAACTCACACAATTACAGAGGCAAAAGTAGCACACGGAAACGTGCGCCAGCCAGCCAATCAACAATTGCATTTTTGTGTACATTTAATTAAGTATAAAAAGTACATAAATCGTATGAAAAATAATGAAAAATAAAAAAATAAAATAAACAATCTCCTCATATACATACAAATATTTAATATAGTAATATTGAAAGAAAAGTTTAGCATTCGCTTTTATTTCATTGAAAATTTGAATAAATGTGTAATGTGAAGGATCGTCGTTAATCCAAGTGAAAATTATTTAGCCGGCTAGTTAAGACTACAAATAGGGCTGGCAAGTGTATGTACGTAGATAAAAAGCTTTGTGTATGTATGTATTAATAGTAAAACAATGATGAAACGAAAATTTCAAGAAAAAACACAACTAAGAAAAACAACATGCGATTGAACAAACTTTGAGTTAAAACGAAATAAAAACATAAAATATATATAAAAAAAAAAAATTATTGAAAAAAAAAGAGAGGAAGAGGAAAACGTATGCCACCATTCAATAAAAGAGTATAAAAACAATAGATGTGTTATTATATAAGAGCAACCAAAAACATTTGAAATGTTAATGAGCAGTAAATGTGATGCGAAATTAAACGAAATCGTATTATATATAATATTATATAATAAATATTTAAAAGAATGCATGTTTTGAACAAAAAAAGTGAATGTTTCTAGTGTATTAGTGTCATAAAACAAATTGCAGCAACAAGACTCATTAAGAAAGTAGGCAGAAAGAATTTAATAAAATGCGTTTGTACATCACACAAAAAGAAAAAAAGGGAGAGATTTTTTATAAGGCAAAGTATAAGAGAAGAATGTAAAATGCTGAAATACGAAGTATTTAAGGAAGAAGAGTATGCAACGTAACCGTCTTTTCATGAGAAACAAAACTTAAATAAGTAATATTAATAAAACAACATAAACAAATAATAAATTAATTATTAAACAATTACCAAAAATCTGATAAACTGTTGAATTGGCAGCAAACAAAATTATGTGAAATAACAAAAAAAAAAAAAAAAAATATGATGGATACTGATATTTAGTTA